GATTGTATAATAAGTAATAACACAAAATATTGAATGGTTAGAATTTAAAAACGTAAAAACAAAAATKTTAAGTGGCTATAAACTAATATTCATTATTTCGCTATATTGCAGTGTCCAGCCCATTGACAATTTAACCGTATAATTATGCCCTATACCTATACATGGTAATCCCCAGACTGATTTTTATATTGAATTACAAATAGGTAAAATATTATATATCATTACTAATCATTCAAAAAGTTAATATAATATGTATTATATTATATCATAAATAATTCTCAATATATATTTATATAAATATTTCAAAATGGTCGAGTCCAATACCTATTATATAGCTTATTGAATGTAGATTGGTAATAATAATAAATAATAAATAATAATCCATCAATACTCACCGTAAATTCTTAACTGTTAAAAAATAAGTATAATAATATAGTATAAGTAATGTTTTGATAATGATAATCATAGTTAGCTATTGAATTGAAGTTGAATATAAACATATTGAACATTTTAAGTTTTATATATTAAACATTATCGTCAAAATATTATAGAAAAGGTAATATTTTATTTCAGGGTACCTACTATGTATTAATTTTTTGAGTAATAAGTAAATATAATATTATACATATTTGTAAAAAATATTTAAATAATCATTTTCATGAGAGTGGGATTCCCTATAAATAAAATAATATGTACCAACCACTGCGACGAGTGCGCCCCACATGGCCAAATCACATTAYCTAAAAAATGAATCGTACTGCATGCCTAAGCATAAATTCACTTTAGCTGTAGTAGCCTACACAAGCTGCCAACAAACATAGTTGCCTACCCAATACTATAACGTTAGGTTATATAACGTATTGGTATAGCAGCTAATACAAACTATTTCAATCTCAGCGAATGAAGCCTGATCGCCGATCGGTAAAAATTATGGAATATTGTGTTAACTTAACCTAAAAATATTATTGCTAAAGGAAATTGATAAATTTTATACTAAGATATTTTTGATATGATTACAAATACAGGTGTAATACTTACAGATCAAATCAAACTGGAATATAATTATTAATTTA